GGGAATACTCGTTACCGACGAATGCTTCTTATTTTACCGTTACACCCCTGCGTTCTCGATTCTCGTTCTATTCATTTCCACCATTAACGCACATTATATTCTGACCGGTAATGAATACACACTCGGTACCACGCGGCTCCTCTTTAATTTCATTACCAAGCACGCCCGCCTGTTCTCTCCCCGCGTTTGTTTTTTCGTTCCCCCTTCCAAGGATGCACGACGAGTCTTGTTGATTCCTCCTCTCAATGGTTTTATTCAGTGGTTCGTTCGTTATTTTAATTGCTGCTCGAAGCCCCCTGTCCCAGGTAATTAGTTGGACCCCCGCCCACGTTCGGACGACGAGCGAGCATAAAATATTTTTCATCCCTTCGATATCGACATCGTCAATTCAAGTAGTCCAAACATCGTCACACGGAAACGAGACACGCCCGTGTACATATACACACATACACACACATACAGACGTGTCAGAACAGAGAATACTACACGTTGTTGTTTCACGCACACACTTAGCGACCCCGTAAGTATGCAGTAAATACAATCGAACCCGTTGGACATTGCATGCGAGTAACGGACACGCACACGAGTGTGGACCTGTGAACGCACCGACACTCATGCGCAGAACACATACACATGCATACGTGCATACACACACGACACGACACGACACGACACGCGACAGTAGAGACAATAGTAGATCGGGGGCCGGTCGCGACGATCCCCGTCGCCGGAAGCCGACGTTCGATCTTCCGGCTCTGACCGACGTCCGCGGGAACAATGGCTAATTAGCGCGACGGAAAATCTTTCGCGTCAGTCGACGTCAAACGACGCGACGCGCGTCGATTGGCCTCCGCGATTCTGTCTCGTCTTCGCCGGTGTCCGACGTTTCCCGCCGGGATAATGGAAGGAAACGATCTAACGTGCTTCTTTTCACAGATTTCGTGGATTGTTCGTTGGGGAATTTTAATTGGAAATTGAATTTGGGTATGTATGGGGCTAGAGTGGGTTAATGTTACGGGGAAATTTTGTTCTCATTTTTGAGGAATACGGAACGAAGTTTAACCATTATGATTTATTTCTTAGCTATGATCGATACTAATGATTAAGAAAGAAAAAATTCTGATGCTCATTTCATGTCTACGTTTACTCCAAAGATTAACAGTTGATAATAGGAAAAACAAGAAATAACTTAGCTTTCTCAGTTTCATTTTCGTCACGATTCTGACACGATATAGGTCAAGGGGTTAACCCTTTGCGGACGAAGATTCTTAGAAATATACAAGACCTTTAGCAGATAAAGCTGAATTATATATCAAACGCTTAATTAATATAAAAAAAGGAAACTTCGTGATGATCTCTTGCTGTTCGAGTAATTAAATCATTTGTCTGCGACTTAGTCTTCCAAACATGAACATTTCATCTCGTCGAAATGTCGACAGTCGTCCGCAAAGGGTTAATTCTGAGATCGAATTGAGTTTAACGAGTCTTAGCGAATCAAGTGTAATAAATGAAGATTCTTATGAAATTGTTTAACAAAATCGTTCGTTAAGCTTTTGTCTATCGCGACTGATTAGTCTCGGAAACGTGAATCTTCTCAGAAATCGGTCTATCGATTCAAGTTAAATAATTCCTAGCGCGCCGAGGCTACCGAAATAAAAGTTCTCACGGAATTTCTCGGTAAGTCATTCGTTGATCTGCGATCTAGTTTCAATCGCGATTGACTAGCCCCAGAAACCTAAATTCCGGCGGAGCATCCGCAGTCAAATCACGAGCCCGCATTTTATTTACAATTCACGGCGCCCAACGAATTCATCGATATAAATTCTGTTCAATATCCCCGGCAATCCGGCGCGCGATTCTATAAAGGTGAGGCAAGTCCGCGCAAGTGGAATGCAGCCGTATACGAAACGAACTTGGCATTTGCCGCGCGTTTCGGCGTAAAAGGATCAGATGTTTCGGGACGAGGCATTGTCGACTCGGCCGGAATACGTTCCCGCGGACAAGGCGGATCCGGATCGAGATCAGGACGTGAGGTGACACGGGAAAAATGGCGGACAGGCGAGGTATACCTGCCAGGGAGCTCAGGAGATGGCGTTCGGCTGTGATTGCTTCTAGTCTGTTCCAGTCTATTGGAACGAACTTTGTAAACGGATAAAGATACAGGCATTTTTGGGATTGCTGGAAGTTACGACAATTAGTGACTATTCAAATTTACTGATCGTAAATTAGTCCGACAGCTGAAAGGTTGCAACAAGCTAAAAGTATTTAGGGCAAGGAGAATCAGTTGTATTTGGTTTTTCCAAGCGTAGGGTTTCGTGAATATCAGAAACTAACGAAATTTTGTGATAATATTCGATTAATTGATATTCGAAATTTTGTGCTAATATTCGATTAGTTGATATTCGAAATGTTGTGCTAATATTCGATTATTTGATATTCGAAATGTTGTGCTAATATTCGATTATTTGATATTCGAAACTTTGTGCTAATATTAGATTAATTGATATTCGAAATTTTCTGCCAATATTAGATTAGTTATAATTCTAACCGCCCTATAATTCACTGAGAACCCAACGCAGTTAAGTCGATCTCTGGATATTCTCTGATTTGTATAAGTTCTAATGGAATAAATAAAATTCCTCTCAGTTATTAAAGGATTCTCTACGTCAAAAAGCTCTTTTTATAGCTTCTGAATCCTTTCTATAACAATTTCTAAAGCCACAACATTAACTCCAATTTTCCTCTTCTGAACTAAACTACATTAGCTTCTAAACGACTCAGTTAACACAACCATGATAAATAAAAGAATTCCCTGTAACTTTAGCTTGCGGCTAACTTACGATCAATGAAATAGCTAACTATCATTCAATCGAAAACAAGAAGACAGGGACGAAAGAGGTCTTTCGGCATGCATTTTATTCATAGTTTCGATTGGTTACGAGCAGGTGTGCAAACGAATCTGAAATCGACGTCATAAACGAGACGAGAAGTGAACGATCATCAGCATTCCTCAGCCTAGCCATCGAGCGATCTCCCGACGGTAGCTAGCCGTAATTGATGGCGTTCTTCGAGTCCTCGGATCCTGGAGAGGCGTCGCCGACGGGGATCGGTTCGAGATCAGGCCGCGGATGAAACGCTCGTCCGAAGCGAATCGGCGAGCCGGAAGATTTTAAGCCAATTGGATCGTATTTTTAGTGCCGCCGCGGTGGACGGTGGAACCTATCGACCAGAACGCCGTTGTAGGTCACGGCGTCTCCATCGCCTGTCAGGCAGAAGGATTCCCCGTTCCGACCGTGACTTGGAAGCAACCGATTGGTAAGTCATGACTTCTTCAACGATCGTAGCGTAGCTCGCCAGAAGATGGCGGTCCCTTTTCAGACCGCTTTTTAATTAATAATTAATACGGTGGAACCTCGGATACCCGAACCAATCGTTTACATTTCTACTGTTCCGTTTTATGGTTCAACTATGGGAAATTTATTTGTTCATCGGAATCATCTTGGTTGTAGTTTAGGTAACTGAGGTTCTTGTATTAGGATTCTTAACCCTTTACAGACAGAACTTCGGTAAATATAGTCTTTTAACACGTTCTGTGCCTTGGAAATTTTTGTCACATTTTGCTTGTGAAGTGTATTAATATTTTATTTAAGAAATCAATGGTTTTTAAGGGACACATGGTTAAGAATAATTGTATACGTTACAAAGCACCGAAAAAACCACGAAACGATATCAAAATATATAAAATTAAAAAAAACTTGAATATAACTTAATATTTTATTTAAAAAATCAAGTTATATTCAATTTTTTTAAAATTTTATATATTTTAATATCGTTTCTTGTTTTCAGTGCTTTGCAACGTATACAGCTATTCTTAACCATATGTCCCTTAAAAATATTTTGTTACAAAAATCAACGTGTACCACAGTGGCACTGAATTTGTTAATGAACTGAATTCTTCATAAGTTTTACATTCTAGGGGAAAGATATTAATATTTTGTTGTTTGAATAAACTACCGGAACCCAGATTCCGATTTTAGATATTAAAGCTCGAAGTCGTTATGAGAACATTCGACTGCGAATGGTCGAAGTAAGAAATGAAATTATTTATGGGTACTTGAATCTTGTAATGCTCGAGCGCGACGTGGATTTCCATAAAATTCTGCAGCTTAATAATGAGCGATCGTGTACTGTTCAGAAATGGATGAGCTTTTGCTCACGTTCTGTTTTTCTTCGTCGGGTGTAATGCAGACTGATAAGGGTGCTTTGATGCGGTACATTTTAGCAGTCGATTTATTAAAGAAACAGAAAATTCTCTTCGACGAAAGGAAGATAAAGTGGCTGCTCAGGAACACCGAGTGGCCATTCCCACAACATTTCTCACCCGTCCCCCCATTTTTCTCCCTTCGCCGTGCATAAATCTACTTTATGTTTCTCGGCCGTTGCATGAAGGCAGCGTAACCTATGGTTTAAACCAACGAGGTGTGTGTGGATGGAGTTCGTTTACTCTACAAAGTGGAATATCCTCTGGAAACGATGTCAGTGATCATCCGAATGAACTCTCAAAAACATATATTTCCATATGTTATTCTCCATTCTTAAACCCCGATATCTCTGCACTTCGTCCGATCCACCTGAATCCCTTTAAAACACCAATCTCGAGCTGCCATTCTCAACAAAAATATGAATCTTTAACCCTTTGCACTCGACAATAGTTTTCATTAAAAATATTTCATTTAAAAATATTCTTCATTATAAATATTATACAATTGATTATCTTCTGTAAATTAAAATTAGCATTACAAGCGCCATATGGTGTCTCTTTCTAAAATAAAACTCGACAAAAGAACTTCGAACCAATCAATCCATGAAACAAGAATCGTTTGCACTCTCTACAAACTATTTCTTTAAGTGCATTTCAAATCGAATATCCTAATAATACAGTTATCAAAAAAAGTGCAAAACACATTCAGAATACAAAACATTAACACTCAATGCCTGTTTAACTAATTTCGAACCAATCAATCCATGTAACAAGAATCGTTTGCACTTTCTACAAATCATTTCTTCTAACCAATCAATCCATGAATGTAACAAGAATCGTTTGCACTCTACAAACTATTTCTTCAAATGCATTTCAAATCGAATATCCTAATAATACAGTTATCAAAAAAAGTGCAAAAGACATTCAGAATACAAAACAGTAACACCCAACGCCTGTTCAACGAACTTCCACTCACCGTTTCTCCCCAGGAAACTGTTATTCCCCGTTCGACGAAGCTCTCATCCCCTTCGTCAGACATCAACCCCCGAAAACACGAGGTTCCGTCTCCGTTCCCGTCATCGTCGTCCACGTTTATGAAGTACAGCCGGATCGAGTCGCGCGGAACGACAACGGTGCTCGCCGCGTTCACGATTCAACTTTATTTCCCGTCGCAGCCGCTTAATAAGCGGGATCCGATGCTTCCGCTTTGACGGGCCCGTCCCCTTTGCCTCCGTCGATTTCACGGAGGACGCGACTGCTGACGGCTGATCCTTATTACTAGTCCCTGCTCGTTTCGCGCAAGTGAGACGTGGCTCCTTTCCGGCCCGGTTTTTCCCGGGCCACGAGAAACTCTGAGCACCTTATTCGCTCGGTCCCCCCAACCCCTGCCCAGCACGCCTAATCCTGGGGTCTTCCTCTGGTCTCGTTTAATTGGCGAGATCAAGTTGTCCTCGTTCATGCCGTCGCGACTCGTCGACAGCGGCAACGTGAAATTCATCGAGACAAGAGCTCGAAGGATGCGCAGTGATCTTGTTCGCGAATCGTCGCGATTATTCGTTGATCGACGCGACGAACGAACTTCTATTTCGAATATTATCGTTGTAGTAATCTATAATGAGGATTCCTATGAATGGAATTTATAATTTTCCAGGTTTAATAGATTTTAGGATTCTAGTTAAAGGTCGACAAAGAATCAAGGCAAAGGTTAATCAATAGTCTCTATTCTTCTGTATCTCGATGACTTTATCTGAAAATTAGAACTTTTCCATCTCAAATACTAGGACTCTACATTGCATTGGTCCATAGGAAATCGTTGCAATAATGTATAACAGGGGTTCCCACGAATTGAATTTATAACTTTCCAGGTTTAGTAGATTTTAGGATTCTAGTTGTACTTCGGTCGTTAAAGAATCAAAGCAAAGGTTAATCAATAGAGTATTCTTCTATATCTCGATGACTTTCACTGAAACTTGGAACCTTTCTATCTCGAATATTAGAATTCTACCCAAAGTGTGCACAAAAACGAACACACGGAAACTGCATTAAGTATAACCTAATTAAACATGAATCTTCCATTGAAGTTCATTCACGATTTATTATCCCATTCTCAGCTCTATTACCCAGCAATAATTCTACACGATACGACTATAAAACTGTTGAAATACGCAAGATGTTCCTATTATCCCCCACCCCCTCTGTATCAGCGTTCATCGATCGACGAAGGGATAATCCAGGGAACGTTATAATTCGAAGCATCTGTTCCCGTGGGTTATTACGACGTAGCTCCAGCGAGGGGACACTGAATCGTTTCGTCGTGGAAACCGTTCCTCGCTCTCTACGCCTTTGTTTCCCCTTTATATTCCGTTGAAGGGGACCAATAACTTCGGACGACTTCGAGCGTCGATCGCGATGCTCGTCGTTTTCATTAAGTTACACCTATCGGGTGTATTTAACCCCGGGTAGACGGATCCCGCCAGAAATTCCGCTGATCGGACGTATTCACTGGCACCATTCAGCCCGAAATGAGCCGTCCCCGTCGGAGGAGCGCCGGCGTAATTAGTTCCATCGGCTCGTTGATCGTGAACATTATAAACCTTCGATCGGCAATGAATTCTTTCGCGAACCTTTCTCCATCCGTGAACGTGCTTGTTTCGTCTTGGTTGCTTTCGACTTCATAATCAAACGTTTATTGCCGAGATAGATGGCAATAATCTCAAATGGTGATGCACATGCTGCGACAAACAGCGAAGTAGTTGTGCGAATGATTTCGTGTGTGACATTCTCGAAGATAGCAACCTTTCTTGAGTCTTGTATTTGATAACTGGTGAGCTAGATTTCGATCGAGATAAGTTTTTCTTGTGGATAGTGGAGTTTAACCCTTTGCGGACGAAGATTCTCTAAAGTATAAAACCTGTAGATTCTATCAAAACACATCGAATGCTTAAATAATATAGAATAGGGAAATTATGTACTGGTTTCTTACCGTTTAAGTATTTGAATCACTTGTTTGCAACTTAATATTACAAACATGAAAATTAGATCTCAAAGTGTCGACATTCGTCCGCAGGGTTAAATATTCTATAAAGGAGATTGAACATCTAATTCGATCTACGAAGGTGATTGAAGATTAGCTTGAAGTATTACAATTTTAATATTCTCGACGCCTCAGCCAATTGTTATCTGTCTCTGTTTCCATTTCGTGTATTTTCTATGAAGTGTAGCATTGAACGCGTTAACCCCGTACAATGACGAGTGAGAGTCATGATGAAGATTTCTAAACTAATTTAACAAGAATCAAACAACTATTTCGCTATTATCAATGTATTATCCTCAAATGAAATTTCCACCCGAAGTAGAATGGAAAATTTTGTATTTCTTACAAACTGTCGATAGTAAAATATTACACGAACTTAGCAACGAAAGTAAATATTACGCCAAGGGGTTAAAGGACAACGTTTGTTTCGCTGAATCAACGTGTTTCACCAGAGAGATAACATCCCCAACAACCACTCGATCACGAAAGAGATCATTCCACCGGCTAACAAAGAATAATAGCCAGTAAAGGGTAAGGAAGAAGCGAAAGAATGGCACGGCGAAATTCAATTAGACGCCGGGGATCGATTTCATTTTTTACGAGGGGCTGATTCCCCGTTTGTTCGGGGCGTGACAATACGACGCCGCGAAACAAGGCTGAGCAGTATCTTTTCACGCAGCAGCGAGCTTTCTTTGGGCGTTCGCTCGTTTCCTGGTGTTTATTGTATCGGAAAGAATGTCGGGTGACGTTGATCTGCCGCCGCGGCGCGACGCTCACCACCGTCGCGAAAGAGGGAAACGCGACACCGTGAATTCCGACCGATACTCTAATACCCGGGGAAATTTAACGTCATAAACGCGTATTCCGCGACGCGGATTCGCTCTCGCGTAGACGGTCGACGGCGGAGTCGCGATTTACACGCTGAGAAATCTAAACGAGCGACTTTTCGCGGCGTTTCGGGGCAACGTAAATGTTTCGCGCTCGAGTAATGCCTTCGTTCGGGGTGTACGCGTTGGTAGAGATCCTCAATAAACTGACTGCAAGCTATTCTCCGCTTAGCGTAGTAAACAATATACTAATAAACAGGTTGTAATTTAGTGCAATAGGTTTTTGGATGTTCTTGCAATGTAAATTACTGGTTGAAGATGGAGTCATGAGCCAATGAAGTCTAGAAAAGGTTGAGAAAATTAGTTTGGATTCTGAAATTGTAGAATATATTCAGAAGCTATAAGAAAGTTCTTGCAATGTAAATTGGTTGAAGATACGAGTCGTTTCGTCTCGAATCGAGAAAATTAATTAAGAAAGCTTTTGAAATTATAGAATATATTCGGAAGCTATAAGAAAGGGCTTTCTGACCTAGAGAAAACGAAGCGAGTAAATTAATAACTGAAAGGAATATAGTTTGTTGCATTAAAATTGACAGAAATCAGAATATCCAAAAATCGACTTAATCATATTGGCTGAGTAATTAGTATGATGATGAACCTTCTTTAACAAGATTTCTCCGCAACGCGAAGTGCAATTGCTAATTATTGATTAAAGGTGTAAATATTTTCCCAGCTTAGATACCGAGCGAACTATTTATAGCGAAGATCACGGAGATTTCGGTTGAGTATTTAATAAGGTTAGAAAGGTTAAATACTAATAATTAATATTCCCAGCGTTACGTGTGATTTATCCCGAGAACGAGGCGCCAGAATGCGTACGTGGACGAAGGGACAATTCGAGGAAGATTTGCAAGGAACTGTTCTCGTGTTTGCTCTGCGAGAACATATAGATCCCGACGTTTCTTTCTCTACTTACGTCTAGCTGTCGGCATACTTAAATATTTGCTTACATTTTACCCGGCCGTCCGCGGTTCCCATTTCTCGTGTCAATATTCCTGCGAGCTGGATCTTCGGACAGAATTTTATCCTATGCGAGGAGGATTCGAGTGGTTCGGTTCCGAGGTGGCATCGAACCAGCTGAATTTAGGTTTCGAACCTCTTGTGTTAACCGGTTGTTTGGATATTGCATCGCTTCCACGTATGCAGTCCTCCGACTGCTTTGTCCTCTGCATACTCCAGCGGACGGAAACGTTTGCCGTCTTCTTCAATCGTATCGAGGGATAATTCTAACTAAACACAGATTAATATTAATCCCATGCTTCTTCCACCGAATACAAAAGCAACGATTCTCTGAACAGTACACGGGGACCGAGGAAACAAGTTTCCCTTAACGAAACCATTAATTCGCCGAATCACGTAATATCCTAGAGTATCAATAATTATAAAAAACAATACGTGTCATACAACAATATGTGTCAGAGAGAAAGAGATAGAGTATAGGGCAACGATCTTAACCATTCGGATACTAAACAACTTTTGTGGATATTTACCAAAAATGAAGTGATTCGGTGTATGCAAAGAAATTAAGAGTACTTATCTAACGAGATCGCAAATATTGTGTTATTACAAGGAAATATCAAAAAATAAAATCAAAAGCCGGTCCATGCGGGTCTGAACGAAAAGTCTGACGCCGGTCCCTACGGACCGGCGTGGCGTTTAGCGTGTTGATAACCGGAACACAGTCGCTAGAATTAGCGGAACAGAGTCCAGTTTCGGATAATGGAGCACACTCCCTTGGAACGTCCAGGTGGCACGCCGGGCGACTACAGAGAGCTGGGATACAGCGGCACGGAGGGCGTCGGTGTCGCGGAGAACGGGTCCTTGGTGATCCCGAGGGTGTCCAGGGAGCATTCCGGGTTCTATCTGTGCCAGGCGAGCAACGGGAACGGCCCCGGCCTCAGCAAGCTCATTCGGCTAACGGTCCACGGTAAAATATTCACGCAACATGGGAGTTACCGCCGGCTGGATCTGTGTCAGCCGCGCGGCCCCGCGGACTTGGGATTCCGACCACGAGCGGCTGGCCCGGAATTCTTCGTTTCCTGGCCGAATTTCTCTTCCCCAGGCTACTATACGTTCCTGCTGGGAACGCCGCGGGATGAACATTCGTCGGACGACCGTCTGCTCGCTCCGCTCGAGCACGTGCCCCGGGCTATCCTTAATCTTTCCTGTGAATCGGGGCCGGGATCGGGATGCAGCCCCGCTGCATCTTAATATTCCGAGCTTTCGCGCGGGGCGTTGTGAATCTTTCCCAAAGCTGTTTGCCTTTTGCGTGTTTTAGTCGGGGATTGTTGTTAATTTGACGCGATTAACGGCGTCTGAGGGCGGTTTAGTGGCTGTTGTAGAACTGATTTTATTATTCTACTTATTCTAATTCTGCTATTACTTCTGTTTCTAATAATTCTACTTTGTCTGCTACTACTTCTGCTATTATTTCCTCTGTTTCTAATAATTATACTTTGTCTGCTACTACTTCTGCTATTATTTCTTCTGTTTCTAATAATTCTACTTTGCTTGTACTACTTCTGCTTTAATTCTTCTGTTTCTAATAATTCTACTTTGCTTCTACTACTTCTGCTTTAATTCTTCTGTTTCTAATAATTCTACTTTGCTTCTACTACTTCTGCTATTATTTCTTCTGTTTCTAATAATTCTACTTTGCTTGTACTACTTCTGCTTTAATTCTTCTGTTTCTAATAATTCTACTTTGCTTCTATTACTTCTGCTAGTATTTCTTCTGTTTCTAATAATTCTACTTTGCTTCTACTACTTCTGCTATTATTTCTTCTGTTTCTAATGATTCTACTTCGTCTGCTACTACTTCTGCTTCAATTCTTTTCCTTCTACCACTTCTTCGTCCACTTCTACTCCAACTACCGATCCTCCCTCGACCGGGAACCCACCCCCTCACCGACACAACCCTAAATTCGACGATCGATTCCGAGCCGCAACACGAAAAGTCTGAAACACGCGAAATCGCGAGGCGAGGCACGAACCAGTTCAACGTTCCTTCGATTCATCTGATTAACATATCACGGTCTACAGGCCGCTCGTTGTCTCGCGTTTCAGAAAACAGTTTACCTCCCCGGAATCGATAGTCGAACATTGTCCGCTAAAATCCCGGGCGCAACGGCCGCCGACAATGACGACGCGCCGCGGCGTTCCCCGTCGGATGGGAACCCGCGCGGCCGGAAATTAATGCGTGATTCGTGAAACAGCGGGCCCCCAGGTATCGGTGAAAACCGAGCAGAAGTCGGTGCGCCGCGGCGAGAACGTGAGGCTGCGCTGCGAGGCCGAAGGGGACGCTCCTCTCGATCTGAGCTGGCGTGCACGTGACAGCCGGATCGATCCCAACTACGACGTTAGGTTTGTATCGAAATTAATCAACCGACCGAACGACCGAACGACCGTTTCACGGCCGTGGCATCGATCCGACAGGCTGACACTTCGATCTCCTATCGGGCGCATGTTAATTACATCGGAAGCCGCTCGAGACGGACTGACCCGGTAACGTGACTGCCACCCTCCCGTTTGGGGGCCGAGGGGAAATTAACTCGTGGCAGGCTGTTTGCGCGCCTCGCACGGGTTTCTTTGATCGTTGTCTTAGCCGCCCGATACGGCGGATGCCTCGGGATAGAATGTTTTGGATATCGCGATCGCGCGGAAATTGGTTGAACCGTTTGAGCGCCGCGTCAGTCACCGATGCTCGACGCTTTTGGATTACTTGGAAGATCGTAATTTGCGTGTATTGTGATAATGTAATGGGAACTTTAATTCTTTGCGACTACCCTTAACCCCTTGCCTTACAATAACGTGTCAGACACGTGGTGTGGATTTTAAATAGAATCGAACTAGCTTGATCATTCGATCCCTTTGAATTAAAATTTAATATTATTCTTGTATTATTAATTGTTATACTTTGGAGCAAAGATTGATATAGGATATGCTTCTAAGTCTGTTATTTTTCTTAATAAATTATTAATAGTAAAGTAGTTGTATCGATTATAGTTGAGAATTAAATAAGGCGAGGGGTTAACACTAAAATTACTGAGTTAAACTGACATTTGGAAAGTCTATAGGAACTCCAAGAGTGCAGCTATCGAAACTTTAACTGATTTACTGAAAAATATAAAATCGAAAAATGGAACGTCAAATAATTCATAATTGCTTGTTTCCTTTGATATAGTGGAATAACTAAGGGAAAACGGAACGATCGCGCTATTTATTTTTTATGTGAAAATGGGAAAGCGTCATTCAGTCTCTGAATGACCGGGATTTAGAGACCCATGGCACTGAAACGGTTAATTGGCAGAATTTGTGAAGGAAAAGGAATTGAGTGGATGTGAAGTTGAAGTTTGAAAGGAATATAGTATTGACAGTGATGTTGATAATATTATTGAAGAGTGTTATCGTTGAAATTACTAATATTCTTATTATAGTGTACCATTGATAATAATACCCATTAATTATATCATTTAATAGTATTATAATATTACGTAGCAAGTTTATTATGCAAAAGGTTGTCGGGAAACCGAGCGACCCTTTTGATAGTCTTACGGTTTAAGAATGAATTTCCTTAAAAGTGTTTCAAGTCATTGTGAAATAACGGTCTGTGCGAGTAGGTAAGGGAACTTTGTGTACTTAGTGGGCCACGGTAATATCAGTAAGTTAGCGGAATAGAAAATTCGAGAGACGTTTTACGCAGCCTTCTATTACAGTTATGCTTGCGGAGGTATTAAGATAGGAAGTAATATTTCCTCGAACTTTATATCCGGTAAATTTATCTGCGCAGCCGCGGATTTACATAAACATCTGCAGTGTAGTCGTAAGTTGCCCTTATTCAACAAGATATTTCACGGAAATGCGGGATATTTTTATTCATATGGCAAACCTGCTGCTGCTGCTGCTGCTACTGCTTCTACTGCTTCTTACTTCAAGTTTATTGATTTATGTAGTTCAATAAAGCGAACTTGGCACAGCACCTGCTTGCCAGTGATGTATAGATGCACTATGAACATAGTCGTATAGTCGCTCACCATTCAAGATCACAAATCACTCGATACAAAGGAGATATTTGGTGTGTATCGAGCGAACTGTTTACGGTGACAAATTGCTGACACGGTCTGTCAAGTTTTCTGAAATTTCGATCCCTTGCTGACGAGAGGTTTTCAAACCTTTGAACACAATTTCCGTACGAAATCTAATTATGTACTGAGATCTTAAATATCGGGTGAAAACACCATGTTTCAATCTATCTTTTGAATAATTGAATTACTCATTCGTAGCTGATTTTAGATGTGATAGCTCGAAGTCGTCATGGCGACGTTCGACTGGAAAGGATTAATAGAAAGTCTTTCGATTGAATATTTTTTAAATTCAACGTAAGCTGTCTTGATTATTTTTGTGTCAAGAGAATCGTCAATTGTTTAATATAAAACGTTTTTAAAAGTCAGCAGAACCTAGATTGTTAACAAAGACAACAGAGAACATCTAACTCTGAATTGATCACAGAATAAATCTAAGTTACACTTGAAAATCCATGGTTCCCGGGTTTCGAATATTACAAAATGGAAACGAACGAATAAATACAATTCGTATTTATCATCTCTCGAAATAGAGTGGTACGCTCTCAATATTATCACGTCTTTCGGTTCAAATATTTCATTCCTTCAAATTGCATTTACCGTCCAAATTGAATTCTGTAAATATTCTTTCGTAAACATCTGCGCCAATTTCGATTGATGCAATTACACGGATGTATATCTCAATCACCAATTAATCGATCTCTCCAAAATCTAAATAAAACATCAGTGTTTCTAGGAACAATGGAATCAACTGTACAATAAATGTGAACTAATGTTGACACTAGAACTACCGTACTAGTCAAAACGACTGGTTTCGATTTTTCTGTATAGCAATTATTGATATTTTCGAAGCATCCAATATTCAAAACGATTTTGAAAATAAATCACAAAAATTTTAAATAATCTATTGTTACAATTTTTACGGGAATTGCATATTAATCGTATTAAATGCTCGGTAGTTCTAGCGTTGAACGAAGCGCAAGAAGCAGTGTTCGAAAAATGGAGGATCGAAGAATTTAAATTAGTACCATTGAAAACAGTGGAATCAGGATCGCGGGGAGCGAAGGGAACTCAACTGGCAGCAGCGTGAAAATTATTCAACCCCGTATCCCGAAGTTCGCGATCCGACATCGAGTTCGACGAGTTTCCCCCGAACATTTTCCCACGGACCGCGCGCTCCCTCATTACGGAATTATACCGTTGATCCGTGGTCAGGTTTCCTCGGGAATTTTGCCTCACGCAAAATTACCGGAGTATCGTGGCAGGTGTTCATCAATAATCCGGTGACGTAGCCCTCGTCAAATATCTATCAAATCCGTTGCGTCTGCCTCGTTGCTCGTCCCACGGAGTCAGAGCTGAGTAAGGGGTTGAGTGTCGGATCGAATGAAAGGAAAGGAATCAGTGAAACAGGTTCGAATCTAGAGACGATCCGGACTATTTACGCGATAAAGTGTATGCTTTGAATTTCAATTCTACGCACTGGAAGTTGAAGAAGTTCTAAGGTGATCGATTGAAAAATTATCCGCTTCTAACAGGTCACCTTAGACAGGTTCTTCTTTATTTTGATTATTTCCACGTTAAACAGTATACGTTGAACTTCAATTTAATATATCAGACGTTGAAAAAATTCCAGACAAAATAGAAACATCGATCTATTCCCAATAAATCAACTTCAACGTCACCTTAGACCTTCGATCTCAATTCTCAATGAGTTCTCTTAACTCTCTTTCATTTACGCTACTCACATGTTAAACTATATACTTCAAACTTCAATTTAATACATCCAAAGTTCAAAAGTCTCAACCTGATTAATTCAAAGATCAATTCAAACCCGAAGCGGACCAATGTAAGTCGCCAACAAAGTTCCATCACAATTTTCAATCTCTAAACATAATTACTCTCGATCTAAACCACTTGCATCCAAAAATATACACTCGAAGGTTCACTCTCGTGCATCGTAAATCGAGGAATGTTCGATTCAATCAATTCTCTACATGCTTCCCGCCAGATACACGATCGACAACCAGAAGATCTCCGACAAGGTGATCTCCGAGCTGCACATCGTCCAGGTGAACAACATCGACCGCGGTGATTACGTGTGCATCGCGACGAACGCGTACGGCCACGCGAGGGCGACGATCCACCTGCTGGTGCAGGAGCCGCCGAATTTCCCGCGGAATCTGCACGTGGCCGAGCGAGGCAGCCGATCGCTGTTGCTCGCTTGGTCCTCGCCTTCCAGCGAGCTGGACCCAGCGCACGCCAGCACGCCGATCATCAACTACATCGTCCAGTACAAGGAAGCGCAAGGTACGCCACAACAGGTTCGCTTTGCACGGTGTCCGGTACACGACCGCCGCCGATGTATTCGGTAACGATTATCGATCCAGGAGCTGGACCGTCTATCGAACGTCAGATGTTCGGTTCGCTTGGTCGTGGAAGCTTCTTGGCCTTTGGTGCATTCATACGCGATTCGGAATTATTTTCTGGAATTTTGGTGTTTTTTATTGGTTTGTTGTATCGAGGAATGTGGTGTGAATAGTGTTTATATAAAAGTAATTAATGAATATGTATAGAGGGAATATTTTTGAATTATTGGAAGGAAACAATGATTTCTAATAAAATTATTTTCAGTTTGATTTTTCAGTATAATATTGTAGAATATGTTACAAGGGAATCTCATCATTTTGTACAGAAGTTGCTTTGGATGTAGAACAGTATTATACTGGAAATAATAAACTTTCAAATATTCCAGTTTTTGGCTGTATCGCTCGCAAAATTCTGAAAGTTAATCCGAAAGAATTCGCCCCAATTTCCAAAAGCAGTTATGGAATAATTACAATCTTCCATGAAGCTATATTATATTATATTACATTATATATTATACTACATAACATATAATATACGTTATATTATACTATATTATATTACATTATATAATATATTATGCTACACAACATACAATATGCACTACATTATACTATATTATATCACATAACTATAACTACTACTATATATTTCATCATGCTACACAAACAATAGTCTCACCCGACACTACATCACGTCATAAACAATAGTCTCACCCCAATGAACTCAAAGCAGAAAGAAAAGAAAACTATATTATACAAATATACTATTACACAAAAACATTATATAAATACTATATTCTACAAACACCACCACGTCATAAACAACAGTCCCACCCTAATGAACTCCAAATAAGACTCCCAAAGCAAATTAACGAACAAGGAGCTTCCACGCGAGCCGTCTCGAGGCGGATAGGCGCGTCACGTGTACGCACGCTGCGGCTCCGACAAATGGCGAGCGGATACGCGTATTCCGCGCGTGTCGCGGCAGCTGAGCGTGGCAGGGATCGCTGGCACGTCTGCGGCTTTCGTTTCGGGATTGTTAACCGGAGCCAGATCCAGCCGGGACGCGCGTAGATAACGTTAGATCCCATTCTCACTAGCCACGCATATTCATAGCGCACTCGTCGACGTTCCTCGCTGCGCGTTCATGCCACCCACGCCTCTCCATGGGACGGGCCGGATGGAATTAGCCGGGAAAACCCGCCGCTGTTTTTCGAAACCGCGAAGCTCGGAATCGCGGCTCTCGCGCGAAATTACGGTCCGCGCTCGTCGCGGGGCGGTTATCGTTTTCAAGAATATAGGACAACGCGGCGTGCATCAAGTATCGCGCGGATCATCGGGAACTGTGTCAGTTATCGGGAATTTTTCACTTCATTCCTGCGATCCGCTGGATTTTTCGACTCTTCGGTCGCTCGGTCTATGAATGATTGAGCACCGGTAATGGAGTATGTAAATATCTTATCGTCTGGTTAATTGCTAATTTCTGGGCAAGCGAAATTGTATTCTGAAAGACGAATTGGTAATAGCGAACGATTGCAAATATAGAATTTTTCTATATCAGCGTTTGCTCTGGATATCTAAGGATTCGAAGGTGATGTAGGAATTCGGTGTACGTTTGCAATTATTTTGACTCCATCGTTTAAAATTTAGTTGCTTCTCGAAGAGAAGTGTAACGATATCGTCTGGTTAATTGGTAATTTCTAGGCAAGAGAAATTGTATTCTGAAAGACGAATTGGTAATAGTGAACGATTGTAGATATAGAATTTTTCTATATCAGCAAGTTTTAAGTTTTAAGTTTTCAAAGCTGATATAGAAATTCGGTGTACGTTTGCAATTATTTTGACTTCATCGTTCAAAATTTAGTTGCTTCTCGAAGAGAAGTGTAACAGTTTCTTATTATACGACTACTCGAGTAGCTTCGGAGTATTAGAACATGAATATTATACTTCTATTACAGTTTCTACATAATTTCTTAGACAAATATCGAGAATGAAAGACTCAAGGCTGTTTGTAGTTAGCTACCATCAAGCTTCACTCGATCTCCCAGAATCTCTTTTCCCCAACGCATCCTCGCGGTCCATTATGCGAATTCCGGGAACTGCAATCACTAAGGGCGCAGGGGAAGGTACAATGACTGCGCCATGTACTTTTAAACCGTCCCAGTGAATCGTATTCCACGCCTCGGGCATAATTAACTGTTGAAACACGGTTTAGCGAAGTTCCAGGGTACCCGGCCGTCCACGTTAGTCGCGGCAACTTCCCGGGGATAGGACTTAGCAATTACAAGGATCGTCGTGACTCCGTTACACACCAGCGCAGGTTTATTTTGACGGCGTGACGCGGAGGTCGGGCGGCGGAGCTGCCAGGAACACCGGGCGACGCTTTAGATGTTGTTTTTGGGGGTTCCTTCGCCGGGTCTTGACTCGTTTCACGCAGCTCCTGGCCTTTACGTGCCCCGCAACGAGATGAAAGCTGATACGACCGAGGAAATAGATATGCCAGAGATCCGGGATTATAGTCAGCTAGTCTAACCCCTGGCAACGGCATACCAGACGCGAATATCGTCTTCGGAGACGCGCCACTTCGAGATACACTTTATCCGCTGAGACCGTGACAGCGCAATTTTAATCTGATCTCGTGCACCGCGCGAGTTGCGGATAAGTTGGCTAGTCTAATGCCGGATTCTTGACGTTGGCTTATCAGCGTGCTATTTTGTCTACGTTATCGTTTGTAGCTGTTGAGTAAAGTTTGGGAATTTCAAGCTGCTCTTTGAACTTCGAGGTGAAGTGGATGTCTGATTATAAATTGAAGATTGAGGTTCTAGTGGAGGAAATGGGAAATGGGAGACAGAAATTTTTAATGTTGAAAATAGAGCAATTTTAATCTGATCTCGTGCACCGTGCGAGTTGCGGATAAGTTGGCTAGTCTAATGCTGGCTTATCAGTGTGTTATTTTGTCTACGTTATTGTTTGTCTTCGTAGCTGTCGAGTAAAGTTAGGAAATTTCAAGCTTCTCTTTGAACTTCGAGGTGAATATCTGATTTTACTGAAGATTGAGATTCTAGTGGAGGAAATGGGAAATAAAGTTTCAATATTGAGAATACCGCAATTTTAGTACTAAATAATTCAACAACTTCAGTATTCAGAAATGGAACAGTGATAATATCAACGAACAGAGCAACTTCAATATTAGGAAATGGCATAATTTTAAAATTAACAAATACCACGACTTCAATATCAAGAAATAGAACAGTCTTAGTATTACTAAACTCCAATATGGTCAGACAGAACAGTCTCTATGAAACTCTACTAAGGCTAGAAGCGTCGTCGGAAAGGCTACTCAATGTTTCTAGATGTCCAGATAAAAGTGTTGGCCAAGTGGCCGCACGTGTCTCGAGCTGAATGATCTTCATGGTTTCCCCGAGCAAAGCGACCGAGGGGCCGGCCGGCAGTCCGTCGAGACTCGAAATGGGGGTTAAGATTGATCGGGAGAAGGTGTTAGAGGCAGGACCTCTGCTCTCGCTCGCGCAGGATAAGCGAAGATAGGTGACTTATTGCTTTGACATCCGCGCCAGGAAAAAGACTCTCGGTGAGATGCTTTGGAATTCAAATGGCGACCTATTCCGCGGCGTCGGTGTTATCCATCGCATTCGACGGCGTCTCAGGTATTTCCAGGCGTCCTTTGACCCATTCGCGATCACTCCTAAAGGAAATACTTGAAACGTCGACTCGCTGATACATCCTAATCCCTTCGAAAAGTATGTCTACGTCTCGACCCACTTCCTCTTTATTCTCGCAGCTCCCAGTTCCTCTTCAATCACGATATCTCTATTTCTGTAATCGGTTCCAGAGATAAAGCGATGAAAGTGTTCGAGATGTTTGAACGTGAACTGCGACTCCTGTTGCGTTTGTGGTACATGTGAGTCGAGGGATAGAGTGTAATTTCAATAGCAGAATTTAATGTTATGAAAGTAGGACTGGTTTGGTATTGAAAAATAGAACATTTAATATTGAAATGTAGGTTACTTTAGTATTGAACGGAAGATTAATGTTAAAGAGTAAAACAAATTTGATACTAAAAACTGGAGCACGATTGATACTGGTGACTGGAATAGTTTTAATATTGGAAAATAGAGCAGGTTCAGGTTTGGAAATAGAACGAGTTTATCATTCGAATGTAGGACACTTTAGTGTTGAATAACAGAACGAGATTAATATTGAAAAATAGAACAGATTTGATACTGAAAAATAGATCAAGTTTCATATTAGAAAAGAGAATAGTTTTGCTATTCAGAAACACAATATTTTTAATATTAGAAGCTAGAATAAATTTAATTCTGCAGAATAGAATATCAATATTTGAAATCTCAAGTTCAATTTCGAGAAATAACAACTTCAATATTATACAACCGAACAAATTCTAGTTTGAGAAATAGAACAACTTTAATATTATACAACGGAACAAATTCTAGTTTGAGAAATAGAACAATTTTAATATTATACAACGGAATAAATTCTAGTTTGAAGAATAGAACAATTTAAATATTAAAAAAGCGGGATAGTTTTACTATATGAAAGCACTGTCTATTGATACCGTCGATGGTAAGCTTTGAAAAAACAGAAATCTAGGATTGCGACCTGAAATTTTCGGGGCGCCGAGGCACACGTACTCTGAGCTAGGCGCGATCGATCCCTTGCCGGCACGTAGCATCGAAAAAGTCCTTATAGATTTTTGGATATTTAGGGCAATATTACAGCACGGAGCAGCCGACCATGCCGGAGAACTCGGCAAGCCGAAGACTCCGCTCGACTTCTAGACCTACATATTTCACGGAAGCAAAGCCGCCGACTTTCACGGCGATTTTATACGCTCCGCAAACATTTCAAGGGAGCGGCGGGAAGAAAAAAATTCGCCGGAGTTTCATTTGATCCTGTGCGCAGGATTTCCAACGAATTATACTATAACTCGCGCAATGTAAAAGGATACCTCGGAGTAATTGGCAGAGCTCGCTGATAGCATGACGAAATTAAATAAGAGTATTATTTCATTGGAACGTGTCGAGCAACTTTTTATACTTTAACGTTACCGAATTCCTTCCGTCGTGCCTCTTCGAAAGAAATAAATAATCTACGAATATAATTTCTTCGTGTAAAATTCTTCTTTAATGTTACTTTGATACTAGAACTATAGAATTGTCTCTTTCTAGTCTTTGCTAGGAAAATCAAGGAGTGCCATCGAGATCTCAACTGATGCATAATTCAATTCGCGTGCTCCAATTTCTCTAATAATTTTAACTCTTTACGGGCGAAGATTCTTCGAAATATACAAAACCTTTAGCAGACGAAGCTAGATTATATATTGCTTCGAATAACAAAGGAACTCAATAGTCTCTTGCTGGTCGAGTAATCAAATCATCACGTACTGTTCCAAATAAGAAAATTCTCACCGAAACGTCGATATTCGAAGATTAAACAGAAACCGATCCGTATCGAGGCATCCAGTGTACTAGCGTTAACAAAATCGAGTCGAGCAGAAAATTTAAATCACACAAAAATTCTCAAGCATTTCCAATAAAACCCGTAATTCAATGACTATCGCGAACCCAATGTTTATGTCCAAAAAGCATCTCTTCCCATATTTAATCCATCCCTGCATCGTCCGTGCAGTATCATCAACCCCTAAACACTCAATACAATTTCAATCGAACCCACCAACGAAGCTTCCACATCGAACTTTCACCATATTTTAATTGCCTCCGACCCCATCGCGATAACCGTTTCATTAGAGCGGTCCTGTCGGACGGAGTTTGATTAGTAACATCTCGACGAGGCCGCATTAAGACTCCATAATTGGACTGTCAGCCTCGATCCGCAGCCGGATCGATAGCAGCGGTCGGGGGCAGGCGGGGGCAATCGAGGAGAATGAAATTACGGCTCAGCATGGCAAACAATATATAATCAATCCGCGTAGAAGCGGCGCGCGGCACGGGATCATTGTTTTTTCGGCGTTTCAC